ATACCAGACAAACACAGGAGGACAGAAGAGGAAATCATTTCTGGGTTGTGTTGAAACATTGGTGATAATATTGAAAGAAAACCAGTGTGTTGAAGCATTATGCCTATATTGTATGTTTTTCGATATATAAATAAAATACTTTTTGTTGTAAATTTATGCAGAGGTACAAGTTAGCACATAAAAATTTACCAGAGAAAATTGGATAGACTCCCAACGTAAGCTGTCGGATTGCCTCAGTGCTCAGGTGAGCATGTGCACGAGTAACTGCCACCAGTTAGTGTCTGCTGTAATGCCTCTTTCTTTATAATATCCCAAAAAACACATTTAGGAGGGAAAATAAAATTATGTTACTGCAGGTCCCTGTGGACTCCAGTGAAACCTGAAGCACTGCTGTGAAGGTCAAAGTGTTCAGTTATTTTATTTTAAGATCCTCAAATGAAATTTAGACCATTGCAGCTCCCATAGTTACAAAGCAACCAACAAAACTTTTCAGCTCAGTACCAATGCTCTTTTTTCCACTGTCATATAAGTAGCACACGTTGGATATGCCTTCATTGTGGTTTCTCATTTGTCATAGTAATCACTGAAACTAATTGTTGTTGCTGATGACTAATTTTCTAGTTTGACCTGAAGTCCTGATCAAAATTACTGACTGACTTGGACAATGAACTGGCCACGTTCCGAGCTTCATATGTTTCTCATTCTATGTCTCCCTTTGGCGTGCTGCTCTTTCAAAGAAGGTTTTTCACTCTGATGACCTGCAGATGTTGCATGACGTAGTGCAGGGTTGTCCATCTGTCTGTTTGTCTTTTGATTACATTCTTCCAGCTGTAATATTTGTGGAAAGATATGTTGACAATGTAGACAATTCAATCCTTGTTTTAAAACACATTAACATTAGGTGGGACCGCATGGACTTATATCTAAATATTAGTGCCATAAATACGATCTGTATCATTTGTAAATGTTTAGGATTACAAAGGCTACCTCATGTGTTATGTATACAACAGCAGTGCAACACGTTTGTGACAACATTTTATTCCATAAATAAACAAAGTTGTTCATGGCATGAACAGTATTTTACAAAATACAAGCACCTGGCGTGTGATTTTGTGAACAGTGAGTAGGTTTTCACCATAGAAACATTTAAAGGGCTGACAAACATATTTCACAATCTTTAAATACAGTTTGTTCCAACATAAAGTGTGCCTCTATTTCCTCTCTGTTACATCAGTGAAACACATATGCTTGCTTTTAATCTTTCGTTTGGAAAGCTATGAATAGATTTTATTTACTTTAGATTGGTGAAATCAACTCAAGGAATGTTTCTATATATGGCAGTATGCAAAACACTATACAGCTGAATCCAATCTGGCTGAAAAGACTGGCTCATTCAGGTACCACTAAATGGGATGAATATTCTATTTCTCAAAGAAAAAAGATTTATCCAAACAGCTTGATGATCCACACCAGTTGTTTAGTCTCTCCAGATGCTGTTATCCAACAGCATGTTGTTCTCACTCTCTCGCCTTTGTTGGCTGCTTTTTACTACACACTATATCTTTTTATGTGCCAGATAACATACAGCATGCGTTGCCTTCATCCTTTGAAACGGTTGCTAAAATTCAGAGAGGCAGCATATCCAGGCGCGCAGACTTTGCACGGTTTGCCCTGCAGGAGTTTCCCATTTTAAGTAATGCGCTACCTTCACTTGGACTCGGGGGGATTTTTTAAGCTTAGATACAAAGTGCTGACCAGCGTCGCTTCCTCGTGCACTGAGTCCTTTCCGCCTGAATGCCTCCTGCACAGGAGCGACACCAGCCTCTTGGGAACCTGACCGCTGAACAAAAGGTAAATGCAGGGATTCGCGCAGCTGTTCAGGCTGGCAAGCAACATCAGGATGGTGAAAGTAGCAGCTGGAATTAAAAGATAAGGGCAAAGTGTCACGTGTCTGCCAAGCAATCTCATCTGCCACCTAGAGATTAGTAATTTGTGTTTGTGCGTAAATATGCTCAGGTTCTGTGTAATTAGAAAACGTAAAAGACCAAATGAACTACATTGATTATGACGATCACACAGCAAATATACGCAATACTTACTTTCTTTAGGCGCCTGCTTGTCCCACGCGGACCACAGCTGGACAGTGAAAAACGGAGCCCAGCAGACAATATAAGCGAGTACTATGACCACCGTCATCTTCAGTGTTTTCACTCTAGCCTTCGACATGCCAGCCACACCGCTGGCTCTGGATGGCAAACCCACCGTTCCTTTCTGCTGAGTCTTTTGGTAGATGTTGATCTGGATGGCTCGGCAGATGCGGACTTGGCAAACAACAACTGTGATAACGGGTAAAACAAAAATGACCAGCGTGGTCCAGGTGATGTAAGTCTGCAGCCCCCATGGCTGGATAAATGTAGCCCAGCAATCAAACACACCCGGTGTAACCTCCACCTGTGAGAAAATGAAGACCTGAGGCAAGCTGCCCAGCAGAGAAATCCCCCACGCAACGCACACGGGGACATTTAGTCTCGTGCGTGTCCGTTGAAACTTTACCATCGGGTTGCAGATAGCCTGGTACCTGTCAACTGTCATCACCACGATCATGTAGGTTGATGAAAACATGCCGAGAACTTGCAAATATTTCACAAGTCGGCACACCAAGTCCGGTCCGACGAACCTGTCTGTGATGTCCCACAAAAGCTGCGGACACACCTGGAAGAAAGTGACCACCAGGTCCGCCAGGCACAGGTGGAACACGAAGACGCGCATTCTGGACATCTGTTTGCGCTGTTTCCACAGGACGAGCAGCAGGCTGGTGTTGAGGACGGCGGCGCTCACGAAGACGACACTGAGCAGCGCGATCTCCACCTTGGCCAGACTCTCATCTCTTGGCACATCCTGTGCCTCCACAAAGTCACTGTCATTCATTGTGATTGAAGACATTCGATGTTGACGAAAAGTATCTGAAATGAAGGAAAAATAGAAGATTTTTATTTTATGCAAACAAACAAAAGTCAAAACGTAATTTCCCATGATAAAATATTGTTGAAAAGAAGATTCTGTTCCATAGAAGTAACTGCAATGTGGCTTATTTCTGTATACCTGCTTAAACCTCAAATAATATTGAAGGCGAATGGAAGCTTTACTCCTGCAGTCGAGTTCAGCTTGCGAATGCTGTCTGGTGTTAATCTGGAAGGTTTCTACTGTGCCTCAGTATTTTATGTCAGAATGCAACTGGGTGGAGCTCATATTCATTGAATCTGATTAGCATTTCTTACACATAAAAAAGCCATGGGTTAATCCTGATAATTAAGTATAAAGCATATGGGAGATTAGTGCTGGCGGACTGTTGTTTAGGCTAAAGAAGAGATATCATGTGATTTTTATTGCATTTTTACTTTCAATATGTTAAAAATGATTTTTTGATATTTAATATCAAGTATAATAGTATAGGATAGTATATATAGTACTATTTAGCCTACTTGATTTTGACCGATTTATCTCTTCTCCACAGATCCTTTACTCAGTAAAGGACGTGCAATTGTAAATACTTTAGGCCTATATGCATTTGTATTATCAAATATAAATAGACCAATTAAAGAATCTGTTATTATCTTTTTATTTATTATTGTATAACCTGAAACTATGGTTCGCATGCATTAGTCTTAACAGATCTAACCACACACACACACACACACACACACACACACACACAAATACACACCACCATATAAAAGCATTATATTATATATATATATATAATATATAATATATTATATATATATATATATATATATATATATATATATATATATATATATGTATATATATATATAATATATATATATATATATAGCTTATGTAAAACTATATATCATAGTTACATTGCTTTTATTTATTTTCTAGGTGGAGGTGGGTGAGAGTCTGACAGTTTTCCTGTTGTGATTTCATTTCTTGTTGCTGCTTCTGCACCACGTACACCGCGTACTGAACGCATCTCTTGTAGCGAGCCACTGCATGTCGTCACGCATGTCACGACCAATCAGAGATCAGAACAGTTCAACGTTCCACACTTTCAACCGGAAAAGTGACTGTAAACAAACTAGTTGAGAAGTAGTTTTCTCGCTGCGGCGTTTAAAAGTGTTTTTAACTTTTTCTGTTTTATAAGATAAGTAAGCGACTAGACAGATTAACTGATACGATTTTTATAATTTCGAGTAGCTGCCGTCGCGGACGATTGTAAACATTTAGGGAGCTACTTGCTAGCGTTAGCTACAGAACGCGACTCTCGCTGCGATAACAGTTTAGCATTATTTAGCTCCAATGCCTCAAGAAGGAGAGGAGACTCTTCCTCTGGTTCGTTCCCTGAACAGTCGGATACCAGTTAAAGTGCTGTTTTATAACCATAGTCCCCGTGTCGTACGGCCTTTGTGGATAAATTACCAGGGAGAACCGCATCCTTACAATGACATACAACCAGGGACTGGACGGAGGATGCACACTTACGTCGGTAAGACGGCTGCTTGCACGTTACCAGTGCATAAAGCGATTAGCTAACAAATGGCTCTTTGTAGCTTTATTGTAGCAAGGGTGCTTACTCAGGTATTTCTAGAGATTTAAAGCTTTGTTTTGTGTAAAAAAGCAGTTTTCTCGGAATGCTGGTATCACCTGAACGCAGCTTTCTCAGAGAAGAACCCAGCCCAGACTAAAGGAAAACGATGGATGTCTAGGATTAGGTTTACTACAAACACACACACATATATATAGACCTGTTTTTATGCAGGTCTGTTACATAAGATGTCTTTACAGACTGGAAGTGAGCTTTCAGTTGTTTTGATTATCATCTGTGTTGCCAGCTCCTATTGATATTTGTGCTTAATTCTGTCTTGAACCTTGTACTGACTGACTGATTGACTGGAGGTTTTTTGTGTAATTTTAATGATTGTCTCTTTGTTTAAATAATATGTTTTAGTATTTTGTCTGTCTTTTAATTCCGAGATTCATAATAATGATAATAATAATAAAAATAATAAGCCATGTCTTGGAAACTGAACCTAGAATTGTATCACGAAAATCATGAAATAGTATCACCTTTAAAGCATTACTCTTGTATATTTGTACATATTATATATATTTTCTCTTTATACTGTTCATATGTATATACAGTGGGGCAAAAAAGTATTTAGTCAGCCACCGATTGTGCAA